TTGCTGTAGGGAAGCTACAGTACACTCACACACTCACACACACACACACACACACACACACACACACACACACACACACACACACACACACACACACACACACACACACACACACACACACACACACACACACACACACACACACACACACACACACACACACACACACACACACACACACACACACACACACACACACACACACACACACACACACACACACACACACACACACACACACACACACACACACACACACACACACACACACACACACACACACACACACACACACACACACCTTTGAGATGTTTAAGTGTTCCCCAATGTGTCCGGATTTCTGCTGCACTATTTCTTAAAGCTCTTAATGGCGTTCACGTTTGTAAAGCACTTTGAATTGCCTTGTGTTGAAAGGTGCTGTATGAATAAACTTGCCTTGCCTAAATAGATATGATAAATTATGATATTTTAAGTACAGTTATCATGACTTTATGTTTGTATTCAGCAGTCATTTTAAAGGCGAGCTAAACAAAACAAAAAAACATCACTAACCAGCGTTCAACACCCTGTGGAAGGAGTCGTATGTGCAGTATTCTGACGTGATGTTTATGTTCCAGGTCTCCGCTCTGCTCGTCCTGAACTCCACGCCCTTCACTCACTACCCCAACCCGACCTTTGACCCCCTGGGGACTGCTGGGATCCTGGAGGTCAAACCGGGGTCACCCATCATCCTCAAGGTGAGAAAATACACACAGGAAGAGGGGTCGAAATCTGAGTGAAACTTCCTCAAAAACTGTGATATGTATTTACTCTATAACACCCCCTGTTGTTAAATACCAACCAACTATGTGCAATATATATATACAGACAGAGAATCAGCACTTTGGAAACAGGCCTGAAACAGAGGGGATTATGGGTAATGCTGCAATGATCTGTTTGGTGTTTCAGCCAATCAGAGACAGGTTCTGTATATATCCGAGAATTATAATGTATTGATGACAAACAGTGTAATAGGGACCTTTAAAGTCAAACTGTGATATGTATTCCCCGTCTCTCCGTCTCCAGGGTAAGAACCTGATCCCTCCGGCCCCCGGGAACAACCGTCTGAATTACACGGTTCTGATTGGAGAGACTCCCTGTCTGCTGACGGTGTCGGAGAACCAGCTGCTCTGTGATTCGCCGGATCTCACCGGAGAACAACGAGTCCTGGTGAGTGACAGGAGCTAAGCCCCGCCCCCTTTCTTACATGATTGTTGGTGGTCGATCGCTTACCGAAACTGACCGGAGAACAGCAAGTCCTGGTGAGTGATACATGTATTTGTGTATAGACGTTGCAACTATACAGAGCTTTAGCAATACTGCATGTATGCTAATAAAGCTATTGAATTGAATTGAATTCATAGGAGCGAAACCCCGCCCCCTTTGTATGTGATTGGTTGATGATCGATCACTTACCGAACCTTATCGTAGAAGAATTTGGAAGTGGCAAAATCTGTGATTCATCAAGTAGTTGTTTACTCAGATTAGTCTATATATGTTTTTTGAATAAAGGTATTAAATAGTAGAGATGGGAGTAGAGGGGGAAGGGGTAAGGAAGGGAGCATAGGGAATGAGGAAAGGATGAGAGGAAGATAAAAAAGGAGGGAAGAGAAGTAGGAAAGAAGGAAATAAAAGAGAGGACATGAAAGAAGAGAGGGAGCAAGGAAAGTGAAGAAGAGACGACGAGAGGAAGGTCAGAGGAGAGGAGGAGATAAGGAAGCGAAAGAGGGATAGGAGGAAGAAAAGATGGTGATAGGAGAAGAAGAAGAAGAAGGGAGGAGGAGGGAAGGAAAGGAGGCAAGGGAGGAGGAAGGACATCAGGAAGACGAGGAAGAAGAAGGAGGTGACAAGGAAGCGAAAGAGGGATAAGAGAAAGAGTAGGAAGAAGTGATGGGGATAGTTGAAAAATAATAAGGGAGGAGGAGGTAAGGAAAGGAGGCAAGGAAGGAGGAAGGAAATCATAAAGAAGAGGAGATAAAAGAAAAAGGGAGGAGGTCTTTTATAAAGGTGAAAGTCATTAAGTGCAGCCGCAGGGAATCATGGGTAATTGGTCTTATGTCACTGATCAGAGGGTGACACACACACACACACACACACACACACACACACACACACACACACACACACACACACACACACACACACAGTGTTTAATTGCAGGGTCAACACAAACAAACATATTTTCCCTCTCCGTCTACTCCTGCTCAGGAGCACAGGGTCATGGTTGAGAATGAAAAACATAGGAATTATCATGCAAGAAAGACATTTGCTGTTTTCTGTTAAGTATTCATGCAGGGGATCTTTAATATTGTTTTCCACCAAAAGCATGTTCTCTATTAACTATGTGTCCTCTCTTTTATGCAATAATGGGGAAAACAATTACAGCAATATAGACATATGAGTAACTTGTAACAAAGACCAGACAGGCAAAACTAAAAAGCATTGAATCACGTGAAAATAACCTTATTTTGATGCAAAGATGTGAACTTAAGAAGGAATGTGGCACACCATGAGAGCAAAAAGCAGTGCTCTGTTGATTTAAATGTGAAAATGCAAACCAAATGTCTACATTTAGCTCATAAAATCAATAAATGACAGATCAATAATCTTCATCAATTAAGCCTTACTTTGCTAATAAATGGGATGATTACTCCTGGTAAGTTTTCTTAACGGTGACATGACATTTTCATCGCCCATGCCAACTTCCCATAAGCTAAATAAACGTCCCTCATTGCTCTTGTTTCAGGCGATGGAGGGACAAACAGGACCTGCAGACATCAACACTTGTTATGTGAGACAAGTCCTTCTCTGTGGCCCTGTTTCCTTCACTTTTACCCTCCATGTAAACACACATGCTGCACGATTAGCTGTTAGCGCCCTCTGATTCAAGGCCTGCGAATGATCAGCAGTAACTACAGGGCAAACGTCCCTTCTGTCTGACACTATTAAAGCAGGCCACGTCATCCTTCATCATGCACGCATCACTGACTTTCCAACACCTCAAACAAGGACATGGAAGTGCATCTCATGAGATACAGGCTTTCTTTCAATTGGCTTCAACAGAAACAACAACAGATTGTTTTTGTTTTTTTACCTTGTTGCCGTTTACACTCCCCACAATGAAAGAAATGACTTTGTCTGTTATTCCCAGATTCTTCAGCACTGGGTGCATTGTTGTGTCTGCAGGGAAGCAAGCAGAACATTCAATATACCCACAGAAAGCATTTGCATAATCATACACTCTGTGCTTTTTCTGCTCCTCCTAAGACATATGGTGGTGGGAGGGAAGACACTCTGCGGCATTTGTTGCAAAAATACATTTCACTAGCAGAGTTCTCACTTATTGCACAAACGTTAAGAGTTGTTTTTATCAAGTCCATAAAATGATATCTAGAAATCTGTTTAGGCATTTTAAAACGTACACATTATCAAACCTGATATCCTCAAATCAGCGAGAATCAGGATGTGAATTGTCTACTTTTACACTATCCCTGAGTCTCATTAAAATGCCTCTACATGAGATATTAATGCACAGTGGTAGACATGCAAGTTTGAAAGTTAGCTTGTAAATGGGTTTAAACAATACTGTATATTAAAGACAGCACAGATATCTCACCTTGCAGCACGACAGACAGTTGCTCCCCTGCTGATCTTTTCAGAGAGAGGTCAACAGTGTCCGAGGACAGGATACCAAACAGCTTCTCCACCGACTCCACCTAGCCACCAAAAAACACTTTTAGGGGATGCAGTGAATAGAGAGAGTCTATCGTTAAAGGAATTGATTGTGCAAAAACGTCAGAACATTGTGTTTTTAGGGCTCAAATATAAAGATACACTGCTTTAATCAGTTTTATTTAGTATTGAAGTGAATATTTTAGTTTTTTTTGAGGTGAGGTTTCTGGATTTTGAGAAACTAGGATGGATATTTTACAATATATTTTAAAATGTTATAGACCAGACAGCTTCTCCACTGACTCCACCTAGCCACAAAAAAACACTTTTAGGGGTTGGGAAAGTACATCAAAAAAGATTGAATAACTATTTTCATAATATTGGTCAATCGTTAAAGGAATTGATCGAGCAAAAGTATCAGAAAATTCAGTATTTAAGCCTCGAATATAATGATTTACTCCTTAAATCAGTTTAATTTAATGTTAAAGTGAATATTTGTGTGGGTTCTGGACTGACAAAGAAATATATAACTTTGCATTTTGAGAAACTACATGGATATGTTTCAATATATTCTAACATTTCATACACCAAACGATGAATCGACCAATGAAGAAAATAATCAGCAGTTGAATCAATCATGAAAAGTCTTTAGTTGCAGCTCTAATATTGCACTAATGCACATTTCTCAGAGTTATAGAAGTGACTGCCATTTTCTATATATTGATTGTTGTGCTTTTATTTAGGTCTAAATGTGTGCATGTGTATAAATGAGTCTTTTGATTGTGTATATATAGGTATATACATATTTGTATATATCTTAGTTATTGTATTCAGGATTGTGGGAAACGGTTTTTCGATCTCTCTGTACACACAAACTGAAACATTCACAATAAAGTTGACTTTGAAAACACGAGGTAAGCCCATACTGTATCTTCCTCTGCAGAAGTGTATATGTTAGTCTGTGTGTGTACATGTTTGTTCATGTTTGTATACCTTGAGGACAGACTTTTTGCAGGTGTCCAGCGAGACGTCTGCAGGCTGTCGGAGGCAGAAGAGGTTCGGCAGAGAGGAGATCACTGATTGGTCCAGCTCTGGTCTGGCTGCACCAGCATCATCATGGCTGCTTAAGTGGGGCAGGATTTGTTGCACTGCTGCTATTCTCACACTGTTAAACAATGAGCAGACATTATGTCAAACTTGGGAGTTAAATAATGAATTCAAAAACCCTACTGTTTTAAAACAGAGAGATTAAAAGCACAGCTCTATTCAGGTGGCAACGAGCCTTTTGTCTGCAATGGGTTGAAAATGTAAAATTCCTTTGAGGTTTTTTTGACACAACATCCAAATGGTTGTCAAAGAAAATGAGGCAGGGCAAATTAAGTGCAAGAATTGACCAGGGCTTGTCTCCCGGTCGGGGTTCATTTCCATCTCAATCAATATTCATAGGCTGGGACTGGATGTTTGAGGCCTCACAAAGAACCCAAATGACTTGATAAGAACATCAGCAGACAGGGACAGACGGTGGAAATATGTCCATCACTTTACATGTTGTAACGCAGAATATTAAGACCTCCAGGAGTTTACCTGGTGCATAAAAAAAACCCTACAACGTCAAACAATATCAAACGTGCAGAAGAGGCATATCATCACCTCCCTGTTTCCAAACACAAATAAACCCAGAGAGACACAAATAAACAACAAAGGAGCCCAGACTCACGTGGGTTGTTTCGTGAAAAGGAGTCGCAGCGCTGCTTTCAGCTTGGCTTTGCTTGGAAACCCGTCCGACATGTCACTTATCAGCAGGACACAGTTTCCCAGCGAGTCTTCAGTGCCGGCATAGCCCTGCCACACACACACACACACACACACACACACACACACACACACACACACACACACACACACACACACACACACACACACACACACACATNAACAATAATGTCATTGTTAGCTAATGAATGTTTCCATGCTGAACAACGGCAACATGACAACGTTTTCATTGGTCCCTCTTCTTTAGAGAAGACCAGGAAATGATGGATACACGGATCGTGTTCAAATCAATAGGCACGCAATGACTCTAAATAATAATGATCACGCCACCAAACACACATTCAAACTAAAGGAACCAGCCTGTTTGGAAAATGTGAGAAGTAGAATGTACAGGTATTTGGGTTCAACATGTAAGAAGTAGAAAGTACAGGTATTTGGGTTCAACATGTAAGAAGTAGAAAGTACAGGTATTTGGGTTCCACATGTAATGTAGGTCATCAGAAAAATAAGTAGTGGAGTAAAGTACTGATACCAGAAAAATGTACTTAAGTAGTACAGTAACAAAGTATTTGTACTCCACTACTTCCCATCCCTGTTGCTCAAAAGTAAGATGATTCTTACTCAGTATCATCCGTAGAGACGCCATGCAGCTTCTCCAGGAGGTTATCTATCCCAGAATGCCATGCGATATTCCAGGCCAGCTGTAGGGCGAGGCGTGAGGGGGGGAGGGTCAGGAGGTCGATAAAGGGAGGGAGGACGCAGCAAAACGGGCTGACAGCGTGATGAGATCCCGCCTGGAACGGGATGTTGTACCTGGGAGGACATTTGGGTGAATTTATAGAGCTTAGTGTTGGGGAAATATCAGTGTTTCCCCCCAAATCGATTTACAACAGCACTTATGACTTATTCTACTTCCACTTATTTCAATTCAATCTAGGTAAATATGTTAAAACAACAAGTGCATTTAAGAGAAAGTTGTTGATTTTTCTAACACTAAGGTTTGTTGATGAGAGGAAAGGGAAAGTCACATTTACAGGAACACACCCTAAAGTTTGAATTGCATTAGAGTTACAAATACTTAAGGTGTATTAAGGTATTGATTGTTGTGTTTTTATCTTAATGCATGCATATGTATACATGTGTCTGTTGATTGTGTATATATATAGGATATACACATTTTATACATATTTTAATATTTGTATTTTTGTATTCGGGATTGTGGGAAACGGTATTTCGATCTCTCTGTCGTACACACAAACTGACAGATTGACAATACAGTTGACTTTGACTTGACTTTGTATATATAATAACATTTTGAATTGCATTAGAGATACAAATACTTAAAGCCGTTTGTAATGTATAAAATCTATTTCAGCAGAAAGGAGAGAATCTAGCACAAGCTAATGATTACTAGATCTGAACACATGCAACAGAAAATACACTTTATACACTCAAAAGGACATTTAGGTCGTAAGAGTCAGAAATTGTGTAAAAATCACTCTTACCTGCAATACAGACAATATGTTTCTAAGATGTAGTATTCTTTATTACTGGGTGCTATTTCACAACTTGGATATGTTCACTTACGAACTTATTTAACGTCTTTGTTTGCACTGTGCCCTTGCTGTTGTAACGGTGTTAATGTCCCCATTGTGCGACAAATAAAATATTTTTGATTCTGACATTAGCAGCTTTTAATACCCATCATTAGCACTAATCTTTATTAGTGCATATTGTATAGAGTTTTTCTAGCAGATTATGAACAAGAAGCAGGGGCGCTCCCTGCGAACAGGCAAGGCAGGCAACTGCTTGGGGCCCCGGACCAGAAGGGGGCCCCCAAAGAAGGTCCACAGCAACGACAACATGACCAATGAGGGCACGAGATAAGTTTGTGCACAGATGGAAGGCTGACAGGCAGGTAGGCCATCCAGTTACTTTAGCCGGGCCGGCTCAGATGATTGGTCGTGCTTTTTACAGCGCCACGGCTTCCACAGATGAATTATTTTTTAATATATTTATTGTCAAAGCATTTAATAAAGTCATTGCTATCGGGATGTTAAGAGCATTCCATGGAATATAACAAAAAGTGTTTCTGAACTTACATACCACACCTTTAATGATACATTTACTACAATAAACTCTACCTGCGTATTACCGACAGAGGAAGGGAGAACGCTGTGGGCTTCACATCCGTGTTGTCCGACCTGATAGGACACAAAAAACAACATATTTAAATGGATGCATATTTCATTTTAGAGGCGTCAAGGCTCTGTGAGATAAAACATAAACTCACCATGTTTCCATGCTGGCAATCTCATCAAATAGCAGCAAACTCATCAGGACAGAAATCTCATTCCCATTGCCTTTGTTCTCCTTTAATATCAACGATGCTGTAATTAAGACATGAAATAGACAATTGAAATAACAAAAACAGTTTAAATAGTGTATATATAATAACATTTTGAATTGCATTAGAGTTACAAATACTTAAAGGAGTTTGTAATGTATAAAAACTGGCACATATTTCTCTGTCTCAAACCGAATATACAATATATATATATATACAATATACAAAAATACAATCACGATGTTATAATACAAATGAAATGTCTCCTAGGTAGCACTTGATAATAACTTTATAATAAAGAGGTAATTATTGTATTTGTTTCAGGGTAGAATTGTATAAATTATGTTTAATGAAGTTACCTGGACACTCTTAATGTAATGAAAACATTAGACTATTTACAAATTAATTACATGATATTACCTTTTAATTATCAAACTGTTACCCCACTACACAGTGTGAGTACCTAGCTAAAATGTAAAATGCTACGTGTCACAATTTAGATACGAATGATGCAGATATTAGAGTAATGGAAACAAGTTGCATCGTGCTAACATCCCTACTGCAGTGTGACACCATGGCTAAAAGCTATGCATCACTGGATGATGGCCATCTTGCTTTCTGAGAATGAGCCCCCCTGCGCTCAACAACATAACGTTTAAAGCTTCTGTTATAGCAGAATGTTTAATACAGCGTATTTCTGATATTCATTAAAGATCACATGGTATTCCATATGATGTGTGTTACTGAGTTGGGTCACACACAGTTAGAGAGACAATTGTCGTTCTGAATTATCAATAGATGTATTCATTTTAAGTGAGCTGACACAGAGGGTAGAGGAAGTTCAGAGAAGGCCTCAGGTTATAAAAACAGTTAACCTTTGTTTGTTAACTACTCCTAAAGATGTTATGAGATGATGACGTTAAAACATATACAAGTATAGCTTTCAGAGAGAAAAACATGTGACATTTGTGTGGTAGGCTGCATGATGAAATGTGTGTGCGTTAAACATGCTTAGGGAAAATGTGTGTGTGTTCATTACAGTGGCTCTATATTGAGGGAGGCACATTTTAATGTCACCTCATATACTCATGTGTGTTAAATTTGAAGGGACAAAGTACATTTTTCCTCTTTTAAATATAGCGCAATAGTCTTTTCTTCCACTTTTTANAATGCTACTGTCGGGGGGCCTTTCTGCGATTGGCCGCAGGCAGCAGGTGATGTACTTCCCATTGTTGTTTGTTTGTTGCAATAACTATATAATAATTTCTCTCTCTCTCTCTCTCTCTCTCTCTCTCTCTCTCTCTCTCTCTCTCTCTCTCGAGCACCATTGAGTTCTTTTTAACCAAATGTCTCTCAGAGGGGCGTGGGGAGGGGCTCCTTATTTTCATCTAAAGTAACAGACAGAAAATCAGCACTTTGGAAACAGGGTTGAAACAGAGGGGATTATGGGTAATGCTGCAATGATCTGTTTGGTGTTTCAGCCAATCAGAGACAGGCTCTGTATATATCTGAGACCTATGATATATTGATGAAGAACAGTATAATAGGGGAACTTTAAAATATGTGTTGTGAACGTACCCCTGACCAGTGTGAGCAGCAGGAGGCTGCGCTGAGCCAGGCTGTGTCTCAGAGACGGATCAGCGTACACTAACTTCCTCAGGATACACACACACGGCTCCAGCAGGCAGTCTACGCTCTGAGGAGGAACACACACACACACACACACACACACACACACACACACACACACACACACACACACACACACACACACACACACACACACACACACACACACACACACACACTTCTCAGAAAGCTAGTTGGCAGACAATGCACCGAACAATGGGGAATTCCGGCGAAGCAGCCCAACAGTAAATAAAATATGCATCGCTTTGATTATGGCTGGTTTCATTTCGTCTCCTGTTGACATGGCAGCCCATCTCTGAATGGCCTCCTTGAATTGAATCGCACTTGACAGCGTAGTCAAACTCTCATGTATATTCATGAAGTGTTTCCAGGCTCTCTGTTGCCTGAAACTATTATGCAATTAATAAAAGCTTTTTCCCCACCCAAAAAGGAAAACAATACAACACAGAATATGCAAATGAGGGAATAACTACACCCCTCTCACTGGCAGCTCAATATCCCGTCTTTGTGGCTAAAATTGAACTTTTGATCATCGTTGTTTTGTGGAGAACATGCAACACTTCCTGCAGCTCGAGAAATATAATAAGCTCCAAACCTACAAATACAACACGACATCTAAGGAGAGCAGACCTGTAACACGGGCATGACCGGGTGAAGTGCCTCGTTGAATCTGTCCCAGGTGGATGCTGTCATCATCAATCGTCCTTTGAGCACGAATAGCAGGATATCCTTGGCGGCGACGTTCACCTATAGATCACAGGTAAACTGCTGAATTCACAATGACACTGCTGACAAAACATTTACCAGCGAGTAATGAAAGTGACAGACGTTTAAACTACATGACACCGGTCATCCCTGAGGCTTTATCATGAGCTTAAAGTCATGTACAATAACTTTTAAAAAGCACATAGAAATCTATTGAGTACTTGTGTTTGATTAGATGCATTTGGTTCAACCTTGACCCAACACATTGAATGAATGTGATGTTCTGCCACAAGGGGTCTCAATCTACTAAAAGATGGATTTTGGTGGCGTTGGGAAGTAGCATGGGATCATGGGAGTTGTCATTGCACTCGGCTTGTTCATAGTTTAGGAGGTATTTATCAGGAGCTTAATTATCCGCAGTAAACATCTGTGAGTAGAGATGTCCCGATCTGATCACGTGATCGGTGATCGGAGCCGATCACGTGATTTTCAAAAGATCGGAATCGGGAGAAAAAAATCGGGGATCGGGATTTTTTTATTTATTTTTTTATTTTGTATTCAATGTTACAAAACAAAAATGACCATGTTCAAAAGTCATCCTGAGGGCCTTAGTTTTGGTTTCAAATGACACAACATCATGTATGTGTTGCTTCTTTGGGGCTTGTTTTCATAGACCTGGTTGCTTATTTCTCTCAAATCTGGCAACAGAGTGGGCAGGGCGCAGTGTCTAATTGTAGCAGTAAGCTAACGAGTACTGATAAGCTTTATTTTGTTTTGATCCAATGCTGCACAACTGAACTGATCCAATGCTGCTGTGAAAGAAAGAAGCTATATCCATGTTGGATAGAATATCCAATTTAAATAAAAAAATAACCTTAAGGGACAACTTGAATGCTTTTTTTCTTTTTTTTCTCTTAATGCATTGCATAAAGATCGGATCGGGAAAAATCGGTATCGGCAAATTGTCAAAATCAAATGATCAGAATCGGATCGGGAGCAAAAAAAGGTGATCGGGACATCCCTATCTGTGAGTAAACCAGTAAAATCTGTGTTTGTTGTCCAATGCTATTCATGAGACAAAGGATATTGGGTGATGTCCGAGCTAATAGCTAACATTTGCTCAGCTTGATTCTCAAGATACAGACGGGAGATGACTAAAATCCTTTATCCCGTTGAAAGATAGCGTTAAAAACCACCAAAATGTAAAAAGTGTACGGTACAAACCGGCTTTAAACTGGATAAAAAAATTCAATTTAAGGCAGCTTACGGCAGGCAACGCTTACAAACGGGGATACAACAGGCGACCAAATGAAATGGTATATTATAATGTACACAATTCAAGTAAATGTATAACTCAGGTGTAGTTGGTTATGGATGGCAGGAATATTATTATATAAGAAGTGGCCAGAAGCAAGATGCTCCAGGAGGTCTAGAAGTCTAACTGCTTCTGTGGAGATACAGGTGTTACAGGAGTGTTTGCGTACCTTCTCTGCAGAATCCTGGAGTCCGAAAGCAGTGATTTCGTAGAGCACCCTGTGGTGGATAAGGAAGTTGAGTCCGCCGCAGGCCGCCACTTCCTTTCGTGCCACATTCTGGATGCCGAGGCAGTCCTAAGGGTGTATGTAATCACACCAAAGCACATCATAAATTATCGCCATCCTCTCCAGTTCCAATTCACTTTAAAATGTAGATGCGTACTCCAGATGGTGGTTAGTAAAAAAAATTCAAAAAGCAAGTCTGATTTCAAATGTCAAGTGGGGGTTTTTTTTATGGCTCGCTGTCACACATTCATCCATCTTCATATATCGGCTTATTTACATATGGGTTCCCCAGCAAGCTGCTTTAGAGGCCGTTATTTCATCCATGAACCTGAATGTAAGCGTGTGTTGGATGGTTGTTCTGACCTTGGCCAGGCGTAGAGTGCATTGGTATGTTTCCGCTCTGACAGGCAGTGAGGGATGGGACAGAAGCTTCAGGAGCAGTTTCTGGCTCTCTCTTTGGAGGAGGGGGCTGGGGTCCTCAAACATCCACCTAGTGATGGACAACCACAGGAGTTAAAGCATGCATGAAATACACCTGCAATGACTTGACTATATAAGCCCCTATAGACCCCCCCCACACACACACACACACAATAACAGATTATAACCCCCGTTGTTGTTAAATACCAACCAACTATGTGCAATAGTTCTTTGATTTGATTTGTTTGATTTATTTCGAATAAGTCAAACAATAATACAAAAATGATAATTATTGTACAATACAAAATGAATCAGTGTCAAATTGATATAAACAAATATTACTGATTGTAAATTACGTATAAACAAATAATCTACTTAATTACACATCTGAAAAGGGGTGGGAAGAAGTTTACACTTATTTAACCCTTAGATGCCCTTAGAGTGGCTGGACCCTACACTCTTCCATAAGTGGGTCAAAAAGGACCCGTATTAGAATAATATGTGTTTTTATGCCATTTTTGTCATTTTGGTTAAGAAAAATCACTTGTATAATATTTAGTATTATATTTTAGTTCACACTAGTCATTTTTTATATTTCATTTTTCACTACTTATAATTTTAGACATTTTTTTACATTTTGAAAAAAAACGAAATTCCATAGAATTTTTGACCCACTTGTGGAAGCTTGGGGTAGAAATACAAAAACTACAATTTCTTGAAATGTACATTTAAAATGTGAATGGCATGATATCCAAAATATGTTTTTTGAGGAATAGCTGGAATATGAAATGATAAAAAAAATGTTATTACAAAGATACTAAGAAAACCACCTCACCGGGTCAACAAAGACCACTGAGACTGCCAAGGCACACATCCCAACCCTTCTCCCAATTACTAACATCTGTTCATGAAAAACATAAAGCAACAAATAAACAGATAAATTAACAAACAAATACATAACAGAGGTAAATGATATTCAAGAAAAGTGGCCATCAAACTCTTGACCCTTCAATAAAGGGAACTGAGAACTTCCACACCAACACTGTGCAATATCATTACCATCATTACAAAACACAACATACATAACATGTGCAATATTATGTTTATTATTAATAATGTGCTATGATAACGTCCTATTACGTATCTGCCACTACAGTTAGTTTTGCACTCCTAAATACTGGTAATATTTAAATGAATGATGTGACCGTCTGTGTTTCCTGGAGATATTGAATTGCTCTTGTTGCTGCACTGTTAGTGTACAGTTTTATTACCATGCTGCTGTGTTTATTGAATTGTTGTAACTCTGGCAACAATTTCCTTCGGGATAAATAAAGTCTTATCTTATCTCTTATGTGCAATATATATAGATGCCGTTAATAACTGTGCAATATATACCTGGCTGCTAAATCCTCAGAACTGTTACAGGATGTGTGTTTGGTAAACATTAGGTAACATTAAGCTGTCTTTGTCTCTTTTTTCTGCTGTAACAATGTACATGTCCCCTCTGTGGGACTCATCAGGGTACTCTGATTGGGACTCTTCACATTGTGAGGTTTGAACGTACAGGTGAGAGCAGATGTGGACACACTCCTTGATGACGGGGAGGTGTTGGTGCAGCGAGAGGCCGTTTATCGCCTGGTCTGCCAGCTCCAGCAACTCCACCCAGTTCTTCTCTCCCTTTGTGAGGAGATGAATCCATTAGTGGAGATACACAACGCCAATATGAGTGATGGGCTGAACAGGTTAGTGACAGGTGAATGTGTGCAAGAGTGGTTCTTGATTTAGAGCAATACTTCATCCCTACGATGAGCAATTTGAATTATTGGAGAAAACTAGTTTTTTCATGTCTCAACGGAGAACCAAAATGTAGAAAATGTAGAAAAGTCTTGCTGAAATTAGGTTTTTATGACTTCTCCTAAGCAGAAATGAATATGTTTAGAAAGTAGTGAGAACACGTCTTCAATTCATGTCGTTTTTTGTATAACTTTTTCTACGTTTTCTTCTACAATTCAAGGTTCCACAGGCGTTGAAGTTGATTCACAAAGATCCTCTTGTGGTTGCTAGTTTTTTGAATGTCTCAACGGAGAACAAAATGTAAAAAATTGAGAAAAGTCTTGTTGAAATTTGGTTTTTAAGAATCTATATGATATCTCGTGCACTAAAATTCAAGTCATATTTATTCAGTTGTATGCTCACGTCTTCTAAATACTACGCAAACCCTTACTGTTTAACGTCTCACGTAAGCAAAAATGAATATGTTTAGAAAGTAGTAAGCACACGTCTTCAATTCATGTAGTTTTTCCCAGTTTCTTATTATTTGATCCAAGTTTTCTTCTGCAATTCAAGGTTGCACAGACATTGAAGTTAATATACAAAGATCCTCTTGTGGTTGCTAGTTTTTTGCATGTCTCAACAGAGAACAAAATATAAAAAATTGAGAAAAGTCTTGTTGAAATGTGGTTTTTAAGAATCTATATGAAGATATCCATTAACTAATTGTCTCTGGCATCTCGTGCACTCAAATTCACGTCATATTTATTCAGTTGTATGCTCACGTCTTCTAAATACTACGCAAACCCTTACTGTTTAATGTCTCACCTAAGCAAAAATGAATATGTTGGAAAAGTAGTGAGAACACGTCTTCAATTCATGTCAAGTTGTTGACTTTGCTCCAAGTTTTCTTCAACAATTCAAGGTTGCACAGGGGGTGCAGTTGATATCCAAAGCTCCTCTTGAGGGTGAAGTATTCCCTTAAGGAAGCAGGGTGTTTATCTGTGTAAATATTCCCTGCAGAGCTGCTTGTGTTGACTCTAAATAAGTGCCTCACCTCAGCTTGTGCTTCCTTCATGAAGTTGCAGGTGGACTCCATCCAGAGGGCGGCGCGGCTCACCCTCCTGTAGAGGTCGTGGCTGTCAGAGTTCACCTGCTCCAGGTAGGCCACCGCTGCCTGGTGCATGCTGGGTAATAAACTCCCCAACGACGTGTCCAAGCACAGGTGGAAAATAGCGGTTGCTGTGCTTTCTGGGAGATGTTCACCAGCCTGTGTGAGGGGGAGAAACCTTAATTAAAAACCTTTCTCTGGAGTTTAGGTAAATGAATCACAAAGGAATGAAAAGGGAAAGTACAGTGGAGACTGTCAGAGCCAAATTGATAATATAAACAAATTAATATATTTATATTTTCATTATATCTCCTCAGGATTACCGTCTAATTAATATTTTTATATTTACGGCATTAATATTGAGAACTGAAACAAACATAAGACATTACTGAATCGCCTGATCGTTTCAAATTCTTTTAAAATTACGTTGATAAGTATAAATGAAATACAGAGTAATATAGAGTACAGTACTGTATATAAAGTATAGGTTACTGTCTTCTAAAGCCTAAAATAGTATTGTGCTTTGTACAAAAACAGTGATTGCACTGGTGATTATAGGCTAATAAGCATCCGGGACAGGCTCAGTCAGTAGGGGGTTGGACTGGGAGCCGTAGGGTCGCCGGTTCAAGTCCCCGACCAGACCTAAAGTATGGAGTGTGGACTGCTACTTGGAGAGGTCCCAGTTCACCTCCTGCCCTGCCGTGGTGCCCTTGAGCAAGGCACCAGACACCCCCCTTCCCCCATTGCTCCCTGAGCGCTGTACAATAGCTGCCCACTGCTCCTAGTACTAGACTCCTGGTACTAGGATGGGTTCAAAGCAGAGAACACATGTCACTGTGTGCTCTGCATGTGAGACCATTACAGAGGGGTTCATCCCAATTCTATTCTATCAGCTTTGCACCAGTTTCAGTACATTTCTAGATTTCACATCAGGCTTGAAAGAAAAATACAGTTTCATGGCAATAAAGTTGAAAAAATATATAATTACTGTGTGTGGATGATTAGTATATGTTAAGTCTCAAAATGAACACTGTAAGCAGATTACTTAAACAGCATGTGTGTAGTTATGAATCTTTTGATAGTTAATCAATCTTTTGATCGCTCACTATGTTGTGATTTGCTCATAGGTGCACACACACCTTCTCAGGAGGGAGGATGGTCTGCAGGAGTTTGATGGTGAATATAGAGATGCTTGTGTATGCCATCCTGTGATGAACCTGAGCACTGCGGGGAATATCTGCTGAAACGCTCTGATGGTAGCTGAGGATTTCCCCCAATAGCTCCATGCAGGCTTGCAGCTTTTGCTTCTAAAAGAGAACACAAACAGAGAGACAGAAATGAAGACAAAAGCACAGCAGACAAACACAGTCAGACACACACACAGCTTCTGGCTGCGAGCCAGGAGAAAAATGGCTCGTTCCACGGGTTAGGAATTGAATGTAATCAGATTTCAGGGTTATTTTAGGACGAGATACAGATCCACGCTATCTCAGTCTGAATAAATTGGAACAATCTATTCTCAGCCACTTTGTTCCAGGGAGGAGAAATTAAACAAAGGACGGTTTCCACCAGCAGGGGGCAGTAGATGTCCTGTGCATTGCTGCGGCTGGCGAGAACAGTTTGGTCCGATCCCAGGGGAAAAACCTCGAGGTCTGGCACGCCAAAGCTGCTCTCCACGTAAAGATGACAAACCAGTTCTCAGGCTGTGAGCTCTCTGGGCATGTTTTAAACAGCAGAGGGCCACAGGGGCCGGGCCCTCGCATAGGAACACACTCTCTTTACAGTCAGGGAGGAGAACAAATGCCTGTGTGCGTTGAAGAAACACCATGCGATGTGTAAATGGAGACATTAACTAACCCAACATTGACTCAGATGAGAGGTGTGCATGCATCAAGGCTGTTCAAGGCTTTTATGTAGATATGACAATGAAAATCTTAGGCTACTCCAACAGAACACAATAAAACAAATAAAATAGTACAAGTAAATAAAATAAAAAGGAATATAATAGAAACTGCAGAATAGTCGATATACAAGTCATTGGAATATTGATATGAGTTACAAACAGATGAATGTTGTGGATGTTCTTTCAAATCGCAGACGCTCGACCACACCCTCGCTGCGTCGGACCACCCACTCCGCCTCGACCGTTCAGTTTCTTGTGCTGAGTAACTGTTTCGGAGGCAATACATCTAACTTGACCTTGTGAAGTGACTTCCCCACCACCACCCACCAAACAACGGGTGGTCTGTCAAGACGTAAACGTTTCGCTGTGTGTCCGGTACATACAAAGACAAGCCCAAGCCACAAGGTTCGCACAAACGCACGTTCGGAAACCTATTGAACGCATCACCATGTTGTCACTAGCCTCGACTTAGCTATAATATTTGGAGTTTTGTTTAGCTGTTGTTCGCGAACGTTGGGTCACTCCCCGTTACTGTGGAGAGCAGACTTAGTTACAACCCAATCAAATTACAGGAGGTAAATTCGTGTAGCGTACCACCAAAGTACCGGTATTGGTGACAATTTGTNAGGCTTTGTCATGAGTCGTGTTTTGACTTGCCAGCTCCGTCCCCACCAGGCTGCGGTCGTCCCACACCAGCTCGCAGACGCTGTCCCCGAGCAGGAGCACGCCGTCGCTCAGCAGCTCCAACACATGGTGAAACACGTGAGAAACCTCTGGGAAAGGAGAGAGGAGGAGAGGAGAGAGGAGAGAGGAGAGAGGAGGAGAGGAAACTGAGAAGGAGACGAAGACTGTAGGAAGTGTTGGGAACATTCTGAATGTCCTCTTCCAGTATCAGAGTCCACATGATAACAAAGGTATCCCAACTGTAGCTGTGAACATGACAGGATGTGTGATTACCTAGAAGAGCATCAGGACTGTTTGAGGCATATGATAGCTATGTGATTAACATGATGATTCAGCCTCTATGGAGAGAGACATATGACAAGCATGATCATTTCTGACGTGGAGCTAATCTG